ATGATATCTTGCAAAATGGAGGATTATATGATCACTTATCTTAGGACATGTAACTGACTAGGTTAGAGTTCGACAACGGCTTTTAGAGCTATAATTTGCTAATCAATTTTTTTAGTTATACTGGAAACTATAGTTATTAGACTTATCCAAGTGCGACACTGTTGGATTAGATGTCTAAGCCTATAACTATGATTAGTATATAGTTGAATTGATAGTAGCACAGTCTTTTTGGGATTCCCTCATAACTAGCAACTAGACAGGATGACTTTTGGAGAGAGGTTGAATTTAGTATTTGATTAATAAATTGAAATAAATAATTTGTTAATATATTATGAGAATAACATATTAATTAGAAATAGTAATATTTAATTAATATTTAATCAGAAACTAATTGGAATTAATTTCGGGATTAAAAGAATTAACTAAAAGTGTTGGGACTAAAGTGAAATTGTTCAATAGTTGAGCAAGAGGTTCCAGAACCTTCCTAAGAAGGCATGAATAATTTTACTAAGGATAATTAGGGTTTCTAAATTATCCTATGTAGATAGTTAAGGAGGTGGATAATTATCAATTTGAATTAATATTATTTTATTCTAATTAGGGTTATCCAGTGTATGCTATCTGCACTATAAATAGACCCATAGGGCTTGAGATTTTCAGCCATCTGAATCCCAAAAGGATAACTAAATTTCTAAGAGCTTCTCCTCCCTTCTCCTCTCTCATCCTCTTCCTTCATTTTGGGTGTGATCTACTAGATGCGTGGCACTTGTGATGCTTGCTCTAGAAGTTCAAGATTGTCACAACTAGAAATTTTATGTCTTGTAAACACTATACTCAAGTGAATGTGGAAATCAAAAACTCAAAAGCATGTATGATGCTCACTCAATGGAAAACTAAACCCCAAATTCACTATATCAAGCAATTGGAAAACCCTAGAAGTTCTTGCTAAATCCATTTTTGGACTAGAACTTCCTTATTGGACCTAAGTGGACCAATAAGCTTCCAATTTGACTATTATGGGCTTAGAAACCTTAAATGGGCTCTAATTGGACCCACATCTATTTATTTCAACATTTTGGGCCATATTGGGCCTAGAATGAAATGAATTAAAAGCTTTGATCCATGATTAACCTAATCTAGCTTAATAGAGCATAAAAATCACAATTTTATATTATAAGGCCAATGATCACCCAAACTAACTCTAATATTGGGCTTAGGGGCAAAAAGCCCAAAAACCTTTCTTCCTTTCCAAATTCTCGGCCCAAGGCCCAAACCCAAGGAAGGTGGAAGAGTTGACTTACCATTGCCACCTCATTTTTATCTTTTGGACATCCATGCAACATATCACATATACCCATGCATACATCACCTCAAAGTCACTCTTCTTCTCCTCTCTCTCTCACTCTCGGCCGAACACAACACACACACACTCACAAAATCCATCCCATTCTCTCTAGATCACTCAAGACCACTCCTTCCTCCCCACTCCAAAAATCTTGAAAATTAAGAGCTTTCAAGAGGATCTTGCAAGTTAGTCATCATCTAAGGTAAGGTTTTGCTTGGATCTATGACTTGTATTCCTTGTTTTATCAAAATCCCTTCCTAATCCATGCAAAAATTGTGATCTTGCACTCTAGAAAACTCCATAAACTTGAAAACTTCATCAAGGAGTGCAAAGGCCAAAAATCACTTCATTTCTTCCATTCTTTCTTCAAAAACCGAATCAACACCCAAGGTGAGTTTCATACCCCCTTATTTTCGGTTTTTATAAGTTTTTGTGGGGGAGAATACAAGAAAAGGTGTAGATCCATCATTATGTGTATGTTGTGGTTGATTTCTATGCTTATATGTATGTTTTGTATGATTTTGATGCTAGATCTAATGATGAAATACTAAAAACTGAGATATATATTTTATTCTAGCATAAAATATACTATTACATGCAAAGTATACTAAGAAAAATAGCCAAATGGCTTGACAACACTTATTTTGGGCTAAAAACTCATTTTTTTGACATAAAATGTTAAAAATACAAAGTTGAAGGGTCTAAACTGAAATATTTCGAAATCTGATGGGTGAGATGAGTCAAAACAGTTTACATAATGCATTTTCTGAAAATGTACTATTTGGAGGGTTAAAAACATAAATTCCAAGCTTATTGGGCTAAATATGACATTTTCGGCCCAATGAGGCCCAATATGCGAAATTTTCTAATTTGTAAGACCAAAACTGCATTTTTCTGTAAAACAGTGGACTATAAGTGTTCCATGTACTTTTCAAAGGTTTAAAATGCTTTTCAAATTTAAAAAGGACCAAAGTTGCAAAATTTTTCCAAATTGGGCCAAAAATGTAAAAATTGCGAAAAAGAGGGGTTATAACCGAGAAAACTGCAATTTCAAGGAATTAAGCTGTTTTCTATGAAAAATATGCTGGAAAATACTTATTTCAATAATTTTTGGTGTTAAAATGTCAAGAAAATTGATTTAAGGACCAAACCGGAAAGTTTTTAAATAAAGGGGTGAAAAGGGTAAATTTTACAAATAAGAAGGGACTGAAAACAGAAAATTCTTAAGGCTAGTTCAATACATGCAATTTGACCAAATGATGGTACCACGCCTATCGACGAAATACAATACATTACAATACCAAAAGTCGTTGTCAAACGAATTGGTTCGGTCTCGAACCAATAACAATCCGAAACTACTAACACGACGACACTATGACATTACGACATTACGATTCATAACTAATAACGATTGGGAAGTCACTATACATGCGAGTGTGCACAGACGTCTACGCACCATCTTTGGGCCCCAAAAGTGTAAAATCTTGTTTGTTGAGCCTAGCTAGCCCAATGACCTGATCTTAAGGCCCGAAGACCTCTCTCTTACGAAGTGTTGGGTTTTACCGATCCGACATAACGTAAAAGGACTTTCAATGGCAAACATGCTGCTGGTCCCCAAGGGTCCTTCAGTGCTGCTAGTAAAGTCTGTAACTCACGATTGCGGGTTGGGCTTCGGGCCCTTCGCAATTGCAATGGTCTTGAACGATGCGGGGAAATACCGAGGGTTTCGCACCTTCTCTTCTTCCCTCCGGTCGTGGGACTACACAAGTCCGGGAGGATTGAGTTGTGTGAAGAATTACGAGTGACGCCTAAAGGATCGCTTGTAAGGTTGTTGATTGGACGTTTTCATTAACGCACGTCACAACACTTCACCACCCACTGTATTCTCAATGCCTCCGGAGCTCAACGGTTTCCTCTAACGCAACGAAACAATGGTACACAAACTAAGTAAAGCAAAGTGATAGGAAAACGTCGGGTTTTCCTAGGGTTTTCAACAATTACAATTATGAATTACCGGTCGAATTTCACAACTCTTACGCTTACATCTATAGAATTCAAACAAGCATACTCATGGATCATCACATATTTTTACACTATTCTATTTTTAGAAAATATCGGATTTTCTGATGGTTTTCTAACAATACATTGGATTTCAAACACTACTTATGAACTCACCAACATTTCATATGTTGACGTTTTCAAAATACTTGTATTCTCAGGTAACAGATAAGGTGAAGGATGATTTGTACTCTATGACGTTTTGCTGTGATTTAAGTAGTATCAAACAGTTATTTTTTTTTTTGAGAATGTAATGTTCTGAACAATGTAATGAATGTAACGTTACCAGTTGTATCATTCCAAATGTTGGTGATGTATAATGTTATGTTTCATGTATATGCATTGTGATGGTATTCAATGAGTCACGATAGCCCTCGGACGTTTCCGCCGTCTGGTTCGGGGGTGTGACAAAGATTACTAGGTTTTCAATTGTTATTGTTATATAACAATCAAAGCATGTTTTCTTAACCCTATTTTATAGATTTCGAAAATAGTATATACCTTCTAGGGTTTTCTGTTTGATATTCAAAAGTTGTATGCTCAATTAGAGAAAACATAGATCCAAGAATTAGGGTTGCATGCACACATATGTTTTTATATGTTATGCTAAAAAACCCATCAGTAGGTTTGCACAACACGGAGGTGTGGTTGTTTGAAAACCCAGTTGCCCGGTCTGTGTGTTACCTTCAGCAGCTAGCAACGATTGAATACACGATGGCCAGTTTGAAGGTTGATTGTGGGTGTCGACTATGGTGGACGATGATAGATCTGGAAATCGAGGAACAGTGATTCTACGGTTTCAGCTGTCAGAGACATTGCTGTGGCTCCATTTGGTGGAGGCTGAACTTTGTCTTTGGAGATTGGGGCGACTGGTGGTGACTTGGAGGTTGATGTCAGCGACTTCCAAATGTTTCGTCGAAGTTGGATGCGTCTGAGAGTTGCATGAGCTTGTTATCAAGAGGAAAGTGATGTCTCAGAGGTGGTCAAAAGAGCCATCGTCGGCCGGCTGAGAGACCAATGGCATCGCCGGCGGGCTGTTGTCTGCAAGAGTAGGACCGGTGATGGTTGGTTGCCTTAAACGAAAGATGGATTTAGTGGATCTCGTTCCTTTTTCTTCCTAACCACTTACAAGACTTTCAAACAATGGGACCATAAGGGCTTTGACATTTTGCACATGAGACATGTAGGTGGGGCCGAATGCCCTCCTTCTTTCTCGCTCGCTCACTCACTCACTCACTCACTTACACACACACTCTCTCTCTCTCTCTCTCTCTCTCTCTCTCTCTCTCTCTCTCTCTCTCTTTCTCTCTTTGTGTTGACTGATAATCGGACGCATGATCAATGTAACTCAAAATGGGCTAATGTGAACAAACTCGTAACGTATTGGAACATAATTTACACAAACTTTGAAAAACAATGGGCTAGCAAGGAAATTTAGGCGGGTTTGTTGAAAAAAAAAAACACATATGACATTCCAAGATGACATGCTAAAACCATTTAAATTAATTCATGTTTGGGATGTTGTCAAAAAAAGTATGAAGACATTTCCAATTATCAAAAAAGAAGCAAAACATCTTCATATTCGAGCTCACAACACATGTCATCGGATAGTCACATCAGTGTCGATCTTGATGATGACAACGATGACATTGAAGAAATACAACCACCCCCTCGTCCCATGGGAAATGACAAAGTAAAAGGAAAAGGAAATGCGACATCTTCAAATTCGTCGGTCAAAACCGGACGATCAACCAAATCAGAAGAAATGATTGTGCAAATGACACAATTGAATACAACTTTCGACAAACATACGATCGAAACCGACCAACTCATGGAATATTCACTGTTAATGCACGATGTGAGACACATCTAAGACGCTCAAAATATCGTTTCGGACTAAATATAATCTACATCGAAAATGAAAATTTAATTTTATGTTATTTTTAGGTTTTCTAATCTAATTTTAATTTCATGTTATTTTTTCTAGGTTTTCTAATGATATCTATGTTATATTTTAATTAATATTAATGGTATTTATTTTATGTTAATATTTTTTTTTATTTTGAAAAAAGTATGTTAATAGGCAAAAACATCACCACATTTTATTAAAAAAATGACAAAAATGGCAAATGCTTATGTGGTGCCTATGTGCATATTTTTTTTTTGGTAAGCAAAAACATCACCACATCTTATAACATCACGAAGGTAAAAAAAATTGAATTTGATTGAGTTATAGTGAAAAAGATATCAATTTATCTTTTAATACACTAGTTGGATTGGCTTGTCTACTATCATAGTTAGCCTTACCATGAATATATGGTAAACGCTACGGCACACAATTCCTGATTATCGGTAATAATAATTTTGACTATGTCGTTCATATATAAATTTTGCTTGAAGAACTACTAGTGTGTCTATTAATATTTCCAAACAAATGATGCGATACTGAATTTATATTTTTATTTGTAGTTTAAAAAATAATTAATAGGATTATTTAAAGTTATTTTCACTATTAATCAAATACCTAAAAATGGACTTTTCTATACCAAATGAATAATTATTCATTTATTTGTAAGAGTATGCCACTGGAAACGTAAAAATGTCCAACCATACCACGTTGAAAGAGATCGAATAATTATTTGTAGTTAATTTAATCATCAATAAATTATACATAAAAATTATGGCTTCAAGAATATGCCACTTAAAAAGTAAAAATGTCCAACCATTCCAGCTTATTATTGGAACTCATTTACTCATGAGCGACCAAAGAGACTATTCACATTTTGTTGTTTTAATAGACAAATATATTACAATATTTTGTTTTCTATCAAACTTTAACTTTCATTTATTATTTTAGTGTCCAAAATCGACCACTCATATTAGTTTGTTTAACAAGAAATGAATTAAATCAACATAAATAATGTCGTGTTCATGAAAAGATTAGATTATATTAGATACGTGTACCTCATTATTCTATAAGAATATATTATATATTTTAAATTGACCCATTTACCAAAAAAAAAATCAGTTTTCATCCATTATCTTATAAATTAATCACATTTGACTATATGTTAATTTATACGCCCAAAAATGAGATGCTAGTAAGTAGCAACCCTTGTATCATGAGTTATTGCCGTTAAACAAATGTTATTGCCGTTCGAAGAAAAATAAAATTTAAAAAGTCAACCATGAGTAATTACTAATTAGGGTATCATCATTAAATTTTATAATTTTTAATGATTGTCATATTAATATTATAGTTTTATTATTTGATTTTGTAATACAATAGACTTTATTGAACTAAAGTTCAATGATACCTTATTATTATTTTTTTTTCATATTAAACAGTTTAATAACCATTAAATTCCAAATATATTAAATATCATTTTCACATCTCACTATGATAATATTTAATCCATTAATGATATATTCTAACTATTTCAACAATTTCATTAAAAGGAATTTGTTAATAAAAAATTTCCTCCAAACAAAATTATTTCTCAACAATTTTAAACTTTACAAAATAATGCAACATGTGTTATCCTACCACTAATTAAAAGAAATTGCATTACTAAATAAATTTACAATACAAAAGTTACCATGATTGATGTTGTTATGGCTTTAATTTTTTTACTACATAGATATAGTTTTAAATTTATTTATCAAAAAGGATGATTTAATCATTTAATAAAAAACAATTGTGTCGTAAATCTTCCATATTGGACGATGCAAGCACAACGGGAAGAAAATACAGCACGCCTCATCTTCGGTTGCTAGTCACCTCCATCTTCGGCCACTGCTCCAACTGGCCACTCCACCTCCAACCACACCAGACGACAACGATTACACCTACTTCCACTCCTTCGGCCAGTGATTTCATCTTAGGTTCGATTTTTTTAACTCCATCTCAGCTTCGATTTTTACACATTCAACTTTGTTTTATGCCTTGTTTAGTTTACTGAATACATATTTTTGAACTTTCATCTTCATATCTTCATTCTACCATGTTTTTATTTGATTAAGTTATAATTTTGAACTTTTTGTCTGTATTTGTGAGGTACAAGTGAATTTTTCATTGAAATTGCTTAGGTTAGACTTATGAATATATCGTGTGTTGGTTATAATAAGCAGAGGATTTTGATTTAATATTTTCCATAGGTTAGATTTTAGAGAATTTTGATTTGGAATTTTCTTTACTGATGTTGTTTTCTTATTGCTTCAATGTTGATGGAGATGAATATACCCTCATGTACTAATGTACATCCCTTGAGATCTTTTATTTGGGAGAAAGATATATTTGAATTGATAATTCAAAGAGGAAAAATATGTATGTAGTTAATATGGAGCAAAAAAGTTGCACATATGGTAAGTGGAAAGTATTTGAATATCCTTGTTCTCATGTCTTGAATGCATGTAACAAACTTTCTTTGAATAGTTGATAATATGTTGATAAATATTAATCAATTGTAAAGTATTGGCCACAATCATTGTTTAAAGAATTGCTTCCAAACTTAGAGCTCTTAGGTAGTAAAAAAGACAATTCGTGCTCAACGAAACTATGAAATGGAATTTATAAGCAAAGTGGTCACTATAAAAAAAACATCTCCATATAAGGCTAAAGAGTGTTACACCGTCGGCAAAGCATGACAACTAGGTTTTAAAATTTACCTATGAAATTTGTAGAATTAGAGTGTGGTGTTTGGTATTCACCACCACTAAAGAAGAGTGAGAATGACAAATACAATCTTTTGCCTCACATTTGCTATCGGTGAACAGATGTCACGTTATAATATCGGTGGTGAAAAAACCTTTAGGGGCGGTGTTTACGGTCGGTAATGGTGTCCATGTAGATTTTCATCGGTAAAATATGCACAACACCATGCAATCTAAGCTAAGATAAATGAAGATAAACCCAATATTTTTTTCGTTAGGTTTATTGATGTGACTTTATATAATTATACCTATTGTTTTTTTTTACATATAATAGGATATCAAATTAAGTTACTAAGAATGTTTTTCATTTTTCTTTCTTGTAAGAAACAATTGTTGATTTTATACAGTAAAATAATATACTTAGGCTATGTTTGGCGTACTAGCTGAAAAACTAGTTGTTAGCTGAAAAGTTGGCTGATAGCTGAAAAGATAGTTGTTAAATAAAAAACTAGCTGATAAATGAAAACTAACTGATAAAAAATAATGTTTGGTAAAACTAACTGAAAAACTAGCTGAAATATATAAAATTACATAAAATGATATTTAAAAGTATTTGTTTCTATAATTAATTAAGGGGTATATTTGAAAAATTAAAAAAAAAACCCTCCTAAAAAGCTAGTCGAAGTAGCTTTTCAAAATGCTAGCTTATAAGCTACTTTTTGGTCTACCAAACACGACAACATAAAAAACTCGAAAAATAATAGCTTATCAGTTAGCTGTGGCGCGCAGGGGCGGAACTCGGACAAAAAAGTTAGGGAGGCCGTTTCAAAACAAAACCATATAAACAAATTTATATTAACCATAATATCACGAACCCTTATTTTTAATTCGACAATTTTTGAACATGTTATATGCATAATATATAATTAATAGTTGATCTAAAAAATGTGTAGAAAAAAAAAGCTTGAGATCACATTTTAGCAACTAACGACCTATTTGAAATAATTTGACGCTAATATTGTTTATCCTTAACAACAAAAGAATAGCACAAGTAATAAACATAGATTATATCAAAAGAATAACACAGGTAATAATTATAAATAATTAAAAGATATACTAAAATAAAATATATAGTAAGAAAGATAGTTGCGGGTCACTTGTACATAATCAAAACGATTTTTTTTTTTTTTTGAAACGGCAAATCTGATATATAATAAAAAAGCCCAAGACTAGTAAGAAACTAGCCAACTGAAAGGTAGGGATGTTGAACGGGTAATTTTTTCGGGTTTCGGGTAATTCGGGTCGGATAATTCGGGTTTTTCATGTTAGAAAAATTACCCGTTACCCTACCCAAACTAAATTCGGGTAATTCGGGTTTGGGTAATTCGGGTATCGGGTCGGGTTTGGGTAATTCGGGTATCACCCGAAATATATGATTTTTTTTTTGAATTTCACCTAAAAATAAATTTAATGAAATAAATACGTCGTGCTTTATTAGTCTTGTTTATATAAACAAACAAGACATAAACGAAGTTACTCAAGCTTTGAACATTGAGATTTTCTACTCAATAATACATGATATATCAAGTATTTTTGTAACGATTTAATCTAATCTAATAAGATGTTAAAAAAACAAATACCTAAAGATCTTAATTTAAAAGTTTAAAATGTTTAAGATAAATGTAGTCATAAATTTTGCCATGTTTTAAAGTTTCGTCAATATAATGAGTTTGTTAGTTGTAATAAAAACTATAATATAGAAAACAGTTAAGTTTTAAAGAACGTGATGATATATAAAAATTACTTTTAATATTGTCAGTGTCGTATTGTCGTAATAAATATATTTATGTTTTATAATAATGATATTAGTTTAAGCGTGATCAAATACTTGTTATATAGTACAAGCTCTATAAGAAAAATGAAATTTTAAAATAATTTGGGTAATTCGGGTATACCCGAAATCCAAAAAATATACCCTTTACCCGACCCAAAAAAAATTGGGTAACCCGATTATCCGGAAAAATTTACCCGGTACCCGAAAAAATCGGACGGATAATTCGGGTATCGGGTATTTTCGACAGGGCTACTGAGAGGTAAAGAAACAGTACAAGAGAAATTAAATTGAGTACAATTACAAATATAGAAATGGAGAAATACTCCAATCAACTCACTTAATCGTCTATTTACCCACTCTATATTTCAGCTAAATCGTATATATTTCAGCTAAATCGTACGCCATGGATTTAATGTGATAGCCACTAACAAAAAAATTCACAAAATTACTTTCTTATCGCCTCTAATTAACAAACCTAACAATTGATTTCTTATATATTAATAACAATAACATCATAATAGAAATCATTGTGAATATAAAGTATAAATTAAATAACAAAACCTTGACATTAAATTATCACAACCTTTAGTATTAAATCGGTTACTGTTTTTATTATGTTTTTTTATAATTATATCAACAAGTATCTAGATTGCATTGGGCACTGTGTATTGCTTCCCTACTTTTTTTGTTCATCTATATTACCTCGCTAAAACAATGGATAAGTATTCAAAGAATTAACAAGTATTAAAAGGGTGAAGCGAACTGGAGAGATGAAGCACCGACAGAAGCATAAAGAGGTTGTACACAGAAAAGGCGTTGAGCACTCAGGCACCAGTGCAGACGACATAAAGAGAGCACACGACATGCAGTTTGTTAATCGGCGAAGGAGATTACCAATCCAGCAGGGGTTTTATTCTTCCCATGAGATTTGGCACATCTTTTTTCCAGCAACAAACATACTTTTTTGGAGTTTAATTTTTTCTCAAAGATTCTTTGAGTTGAAAAGGTTGTAAATTATATTAGTGTTTTGGTAATTTATAGAATTATGTAGTATCCTAAATTTTACTTAGTTTCCTATTAAAATACCAATCGTTTTGACTTTTAATCAGTGATTTTCTAAGATTTTTTTTAATGGGTTACTTATTTTCTTGATTAATTAGACTTTTTGTGATTTTTTCTAACTAAATCGCACATATAGATATTATCAGTAACTCTATAAAACGAGAGGGGCCTCCAAGGGATTTTTAAACGACTAATTACATGTAATGTAATATATGTATAAAGGTATAAATGAGTTTAACATCAGTGGGGGCCATGGCCCCCTCTGGCCCCAAGAAGGATCCGCCACTTTACGAACTAGTTTTAATTTAAGATGGTGTTAGTTTATATTTAAAAAATTGTTTGTTGATTTTTGTAAGCAACTATTGTTGTTTAAGATTGAAAAATTATTGATTATAATCGTGTGTTTGTAAAAAAATGATATACATTATTAGCAAAAAGTTAAAACAATAACAAAAAAAAGTTATATTAAAAAATTTAAAAATAATTAAAAACTATAAATTTGTTTTAAAAAATATAAAAATTTGAAATATTTTTGAAATTATATCTATCCAATATTTTTTTTTTTAAAAAAAAAAAACATCATTTTGTTCATTATGTTATGCATGCCTCCAATTTGCCAGGCATATTTGCTACATCACTGAAGCATCCATGATAAAGGAAAACCGAATATGCTAAAAAGGGTGGACACTTTTTACAAGGCTTAAAGACTTTACGAAATTTATTAAACATGTTTTACAAGATTGAGCTAAACAATGACTAATAAATCACTTAATTTCATGCACATGCAATAACGCGTACTGACATCTTATGGAAGTCTCGGCCACACAAGCAAGATTCATTCATAAATGCATCATTTAATTTGAAAAATACTATACATGAAACACCTGAAATTATTTGTACTCACCTCCTTGTCATTCTTCACCACAAATGGCTACCCTCTATCCTTGAAATCATTTTCAATAGCATTCCTTTTCATCGTCAACATAAAGAGGTATAAAAAAATAAAATCGCATAATATATAATAAAAAAACCATAATTTCAATAAGAAAAAAAAGTAATTACATATTTTTCAGGCTTAAAATTCGTAATTACAAAGCAAAGCACCATTCATAAAATCTCATATGATCCATACTTAAGTTGTTGGTAAATATAGTATCGATGATGGTTTTAAGAGTCAAAAAATATGTGTAATACCCGTTTTGATTTTCGGTATGGTATTATTATTATTTTTATAGTTAAAAATAATAATAACTAAAAAATATTAAAATAAATCATTTTATTTAATATAAATAATTTATATGTCCAAGGGGGTATTATCCTAATTC